GTTCTAGCTCAATTGGATCTTGATGATACTTTGTTGGAGATTGATAGAATGCCTGCAGCAATGACAGCGGAGGAGAAGCGAAGGAAGGATCGGAAAGCCCTATCTCAAATACATTTTCATCTTTCTAATGAAATTCTTCAGACGTGGCAAAGGAGAAAAGTATCGCTGGATTATGATTGAAGTTGGAGCAGCTTTGTATGATAAAGAGCTTGACAAGTAAGTTACACTTGAAGCAGCGCTTGTATTCTCATCGCTTGACAGAAGGTGGATCTTTGGAAGGTCATCTATCGGTGTTCAAGGAAATCATCGCTGATTTGGAAATAATGGAGGTTGAGTATGATGAGGAGGACTTGGGGCTGATATTGGTATGTTCATTACCGCCTTCATATGTGACTTTTAGAGATACCATTCTCTATAGTCGGGATAATCTTACAATTGACAAGGTATATGATGCTCTTTATTCTAAGGAGAAGATGAAGCATTTGGTCATTGGTTATGAGGCTCACGAAGAGGGCCTTGTTGTTCGTGAGAGGAAGACGGGTAGTCATGGAAGGATCGGAGTTAAGGATAGCAACAGCGGTATGGTCTGTTGGTATTGCAACAACAAGGGGCACATGAAGAGGGATTGCTATGAGTGGCGAAACATGTTTGCTACTATGGATCAGGATAAACAATCAGAAAATTCCTGTAATGTTAATCTTGCATAAGAGAGCAGTGATGGAGATTTGTTGATGATTATTGAAGGTAACTCCAAACCTGACGAGAATTGGATTCTTGATTCAGCTTGCACTTATCATATATGTCCAAATCGGGATTGGTTTTCTTCATATGAAACAGTTACAAGGGGTTCCGTGATGACGAAAGAAATGAGCCTCGTAAAATTGCTGGGATTGGTAACGTCAAAATCAAGATGGTTGATGGGAATGTTAGAATTTTTGGCCATGTTCGACATGTTCTAGGTATCAACAAAAATGTGATTTCTTTGAGTACTCTTGATGCAAAGGGGTACAGGTATACTGGTGGATGTGGAGTTCTGAAAGTTAGCATGGGTGCTCGGGTTGTGTTAAGGGGGCGGAGAAAGTCTCGATTATATGTGTTGGAAGGTTCGGCGATCATGGAGGAAGCAACTACAGCTTATGGTTTAGTAAGCGGTAACTCGGGAAGAGTTGTTGGTGATCGGGTTATTCGTGAAAATTCGAACAAGACTTCTAGTAGCTCGGGTGGAGCTAGTTGTGATCTTGTTGATCATGTTGCTCATGGTGTTTTGAGCAGGTTTGACAACTCAAGTGGAGTTAGCATTGCTTGTGGTGATTCAAGCAAGTTTATTGACTCAGCTGGAGCTGGAAATGAACAGGATGATTGAAGTAAGGATGGCGCGCAAAGTAGTTCTGCTGGTTTGCAGGGCTTGGATGTAGTTCACAGTTGCTGAGCGTGCCCGGAAGGGGCATGGGGTGTCCGATGGGACATGGTGGAAAAGTTGGAAAATGACGTGAAGAGTGGAGCTTAATTCTTTGTTATGGAATTTGTGTCAAGGTGGAGTTTTTTAGGACTTGTGACAAAAATTCTATATGATTTAGAAGTTTGTTGCAATAAGGAAGCTTGATCAATCTTGTGTTAGAAGTCTAGTCTGATTAGGAATCAAATATCATCATGTTTTGGAAGTTTGATGGGAGTTTGATTGGGTTAAGGACTTCTTAGATGGATGAAAGAGGTGTTTTGGAAACACTAGGATGGAGCCGGAAGCAAAAAGGAAAGAAAACGCAAAGAGAAGAAAATAGGAAAAAAGAAGACAGTCGTGGCGCTTGGGCGCTGGCCCTGGTGCCTAGGCACTTCGACGCGATTTTGGACTCTTATCTCATCCATGACTTCGAGATTTGGCTTCTATAAATACTCCACCAAGTATAGGCACTTGGTAAGGCAATGCAAAGGCAAATAGAGAGTTCATAACAAGTTTAGATCTTTGATTTTATACATTAGAAACAAGATAGAATTGTTTAGATTAGTTTGAGAGGATCCAATCTTGTAAGACAATTATTGGTGTTTCTTGGTATAATAAAATTCTCCTCTTCTACAATATTCTTGGTTGTTGTGTGATCCATTAAAACTTCATATTGCTTATACTCTTCTTCTTTAATTATTTGGCGGTTTTTCCAACAATTGGTATCGGAGCGTTCTTGATATCGGGTTGGTTCCCAACAAGTGGTATCAGAGCGTTCTTATCGACTTTGTTTTCAACACCATCCTTTTTTTTCTTTTTCTGTATAACTTTACCCTTTCATTCACCATTACCGCCATCCCCAACCCATTGTGAGAAGGCTCTTTAGGAAAAATGTCTATCTTCTAATCATCAAACTTGTGACAATTTGTTGGAATGTTCAGGATGAAGAATTCATTACATATTTACTGGTTATGCAAACCTTAAAGACTCTGAACTCTTTCATAAGATAAATAAATAATAATAATAAATTTGATCTCTACTCAAGCTTTTTCATGATTTAGCAAATAAAATCGGTAATAGGATTCTGGTACTCTTCTAAGTATAAAAGTACATCAAGAGTTGCAGATGTACAATG